GTGATTCCCAAAGAGCTATTAGCCAAAAACATGTGCAGCATGTCCTTTAAAAAATTTGAGGAACCTGGACAAGTGGAGGATAAAACATGAACATTATCTGAATGATGTCATGGTGTTAAGAAATAGAAAAAAAGCCAATAAAGACCTGACACAGGACCTGAAGATGCATCAGGCCTGAGTCTGATCCCAAACACTGCCAATGCAGTAACAGTGAAACACTCAGTCATCTCCAGCCTGGGCCTCAACATTATTGAAGCAGCGTGGGATCATGCTGACAAAGAACTGAACAAAAGGCAGAAACATCCAAAGAAGTAGATTTTTTTTTCCTCGCTAAATAGAAAAAGATGAGTTTGCACAGTAGTGTTTCCATTCAGTGAGTAGGATTTCTCTCCAGCAGAGACTCACATCTCCCAGTGAGGAAGTCATCATTAAGTTCTTGTAGTCGTTTTACCTTTCAGCTGATAAAGTCTCTTAACTGAACTCTTCAACGATCACAGTGGTTAGGAACAGTCTCTATGTTTAGATTTCTGCGCGGCTCAGAAATGATATGAGAAAGCACACAATTTTTTGTCATCTGTTTCTTCCACCTCTCCCCTAACAGATGATTCAGTGTCTGAAGCTGGGCGCTCTGTCTCGCACCACCGCCAGCACCCAGATGAACGTCCAGAGTTCACGCTCCCATGCCATCTTCACCATCCACTTGTGCCAAGTGCGAGTCTGCTCCCCTGACAACAACGTAAGTATTGTTATGAAAGGCAACAGAGGACTGGTGTGTTTGCATCACTCGCAGTTCTGTTTATTTACTTTCCTTTCCATTTTCGTCCAGGATAACGCGACGGATAACCGTCTGGCTAACGACTCAGAGATCGATGAGTTTGAGACTCTGACAGCCAAGTTCCACTTTGTGGACCTGGCGGGTTCTGAGAGATTAAAGAGAACTGGAGCTACAGGAGACAGAGCGAAAGAGGGCATCTCCATCAACTGTGGGCTGGTGAGGAAGCTCTCCGGAGAACTTTAAACAGTAAACACTGCGCTGCCGTCATTGGCCACTTAATTTAGTTTGAGCTGCATTTAATAGGACAGTGATGAAAAGCAAGTAAGAGACCAGCATTTACCAGTGTGTGGAGCGGGAGAGACCCCTGATGGACAGAATAGGAATTACACTGTTGATTTCTTCCACCAGCACAAATAACCTTGTTTATAGTGAATTCTGATGACAAGGTAACTAAGGCTAAATGCTTGTTCTCCTCTTCCGTGTCCTTCCTTAGCTCGCCCTGGGAAATGTCATCAGTGCTCTTGGAGACAGGAGTAAGCGCTCCACTCACGTGCCTTACAGAGACTCCAAACTGACCCGGCTGTTACAGGACTCACTAGGTGGCAACAGGTTTGTGGGGAAGAATAAATAAATAAATATTAGATATGCATTTAAATATCCATACTATCCGTAAGAAATCAACGGGCTCGATCGTTATTCTTGCATCCTCCAGTCAAACTGTGATGATCGCCTGCATCAGCCCGTCAGACAGGGACTTCATGGAGACCTTGAACACACTAAAATACGCCAACCGGGCACGGAACATCAAGAACAAGGTGATGGTGAACCAGGATAGGGCCAGCCAGCAGATCAGCGCCCTGAGGACAGAGATAGCACGACTGCAGATGGAGCTGATGGAGTACAAGACTGTAAGAGCGCGGCACAGGCGGGAATGC